ACTGCTCCAAAAGCGAACACACAAATGATCAAAAGCGAAGCAGCCTTACTGCTGATGTGGAGGAAGTTGTAGTGGTCTGAGCAGAAGCTCAAAGCAGTCACACTTCTGTAAGACAAAGCCTAATCCAGAGTCAGGCCCTAACTCTTTAATTCTATGAAGGCTGAGAGAGGCAAGAAAACTACAGAAGAAAAGTCTGAAGCTAGCAGAGTTCGGCTTATGAGGTTTAAAGAAAAAAGCCATTTCCATACGTAAAAATGGACAGTGAAGTAGCAGTACCAGATATGGTACTATAAACCTCAATGAGAATGTTACAAGTACTCATTTTGATGGTGTTAGTCATTGTTTCTAGGTCTTTTTAGAAAACATACTTAGGAAATAGTTTTTTAAGATAAAATACATTATGAGGTCATACTGACCTCATAACTTCCAATTCAAGTTTAGAATTCATAGTCATACTGACCTTATAATTTCCAATTCAAGTTTAGAACTATGGGCTTTTTACTTTACTTTATTCGTTGTACTTGTATTTCTCTTACCTCTATACCCAAAGTTCTGATTCTCAATAACAGGAAGAGATTACTCTTTCGCTTTATCCCATTGTATATAATAACCTCAGAGTGACAAACCAATGCACTCAGCATTGATATAATTCCTAAAAACAGTTTAAGATGTTTTTATAATTTTTTTTCCCATTTGTGACATCTCGTTAGAAATGTACAGCCAAATTATACATTGTTCATTAAAGTCACTCAAAATAGTTTTCTGTTGGTTATGCCAGCAACTTGATAGGTTTATTTTGCTCTTTTTGCTTTAGATTTTAGTGTTAGCTTTTCAAATTTTTATTTGTATTATTTTGTATAGATATAGAAAATATCTACATGGTTTGAGAGTCAAATCCGTAGGACAGAAGATATTCCAGGGAGTCTGGTTCCTATCCCTCTCCTTTCTGACTTATGTCTTCATTCTCTCTAGAATCATCATTTTGGTTTTTATTTATTCTTACATTTAAAAATATAAACAGATTATATATAATATTCATAGCTTTGTATTATGTATACAAAACAGGATATATATTTATACTGCTGTCTTCTAGATGAATAGAGGTATATCAAACATATTTAACTGTATTTCCTGCTGTGTATATTTTACCTACGTAACTATGTTTCCCAGGGACCATTTAGTATATATAGATATTCTTCATTCATTATTTCAGCTGCATGGTACTCTCTTGTGTGGAGGAACCATTGTTTATTCAGTCAATCCTCTATTGAAAAAAATTTTCTCAGTTTTTTACTACTACAAATAGTGCTGTAATAAAAAGCTTTGTACATATGTCTTTTCATATTTTCGCCAGTATATCTTCGGCACGGATTCTGAGAAGTAAAATTGCTAGGTTAAGAAATAAGTGCATATGTACTTTTGCTAGAAAAATGTTGCCAAAGTTTCTGTCCGTAGAGATTGTGCCAGTTTGCATTTGCACCAGAAATGTGTCAGTGACTGATTCCTACCAGCCTTGCCAATAGAATGTGCTGGAAATTTTGCACATTTTTCTAATCATAAGGTGAGCAATGTTATCTTATACATATGTCTCACTCTCTTTTTTAGAAAGTAATTTAAAACTTACAAAAAAGTTGTAGAATAGTTTAAATAACTTCTTTTCTAGAACTATTTGAGAATAAGTTGCTGACATGTAGCTCCGTGGTCATCACCCGCATATCCCTTTTGTGTGTGTTCCTTTTCTCTCTCTCTTTCTTTCTTTATTTTATTTATTCATTTATTTTTTTTTGAGGCAGGACTTGCTCTGTTGCCCAGCTGGAGTGCAATGGTGCAATCATAGCTCATTACAGCCTCAATCTCCTGGGCTCAAGTAATCCTTCCGCCTCAGCTTCCAGTGTGTGCCACCATGCCTGGCTAATTTTTTTTTTTTTTTTTTTGGACAGATGGGGTCTACTGTGTATTTCTTAAAGACAAAGACATTTTCCTACATGAAGGACAGTGCAACCAGGAAGTTAATATTGACACATTTCTCCCAACTAATGGTCAGACCTTGTTCATGTTTTGCCAGTCATCTCAATAATGTTCTAATAGAAAAGAGATATAGGATTACACAATGCTGTTGTTTGCTATATCTCTTTAATCTTCAATTTTTAGTTAAATTCTGTGACTTTGACTCTTCTGACTCTGGTTATTTTATAGAATGTCCTTCAGTTTGCATTTGCTGATGTTTCCTCATAGTTAAATTCAGGTTATGCATTTTTGGCTGGAATATCACAGACATGATGCTGTGTTTTCACTGCTTCCTCTCAGATGGTGCATAATTTCAATTTGTCGTATTACTGGTGATGCTACCTTATATTACTTAATTAAATGGTGTCTGCCAGGTTTCTCCATTGCATATTTATTCTTTTCCTTTTTGTAATTAATGGTTATTTTGTTGAGAGATACTTTGAGATGATATAAATAAACCATCTTCATCAATTTTTCACCCTCTAGTTTTAGTATACATTGGTGTTTCTTGGCCAAATTAATTATTACCTTGATAGTTGCCAAATGATGATTTTTCTAATGTTATCTCTCCTTCTACATTAATTAATTGCCATTTTGCTGCAAGGAAAATCTGTCTCTTCTCCTTATTTATTTATTCATTTACTTAAGTCATTATGAACTCATAAATCCATATTTTATTTGATGGTTATAGTTCTTTCTTATCATTATTTACTTTGATGTTCAAATTGTTACAGATTTAGGCAGTGAGACCCCTTTAAAGTTGGCTTTGATATTTTTGTGATATGTCCCCATCATTCTTTGAGCATTTCTTTACTTAATGGCACAACAAGATCTTCTAGCTTACATTATACTTTTCTTGGCCCAGCCTGTACTCAGTTGTTTCTCTAAGGAAGCCTTTTATTGGGAGAAAGGGAATTTAGAAACCAAAATCTGGGCACTGGATGTGCTCATTACTGTTGGTGTATAAACAAAAAGACTACCAAACATGTTTATATATTCTTATAATCACACATATTTACATCTATATTATTTCTCTCTCTCTATCTAGTACATTGATATTTTTCATTGGAATCTACTACCACAGGGTCTATTGTAGTTGTATCTCTTTCTCTATCTGTAACTTCCTTTCTTCAGTGAGAAACCTGGCTAGTTCACCTCATTATATCTACAGGAGTCCCCTCTTATCTGCAGGGGATACATTCCAAGACCCCAGGTAGATGCCTGAAACCATGGGTAGTACTGAGTCTGATCACTGTCATTTGGAACACATTTCTGTTCATGTCTTCCACCCACACATTTAATGCCTTTACCATTTTATCTAAGCACTTCACACTGTGGTTGTAATGTTTGCAGTTTGAGGTGCGATGCACAACTAGCATAAACTTCTTTTTCCTTCTTCACAACTTCACAGATAGTTGATTCATTCTTACTATAGATCTTAGCAACCTCAGCATACAGTTTTGTTTTCTTTAAGTTGAGAACATTCACCTTTTCACTTAAAGAAAGCACTTTACTGCTTCTCTTTGGCATAACTGAATTGAGAGCATTACTACTCTTGTGCTTTGGGGCACAAGTAGTAAAATAAGGGTAACCTGAAATGAGCACAGGGATACTGCAACAGGCAATGTAATAGTCAGGTGACTGACAAGCAGGAAGTGTATACAGCATGGATTCTGTTCCGGGTGGGATGGAGTGCATAGCACTAGATTTAATTACTCTACTTGGAATGGTGCACAGTTGGAAAACTTATATATTGTTTATTTCTGGGATTGTCCACTTAATATTTTCTGACTGCAGTTGACTGTAGGTAACCAAAACCATGGAAAGTGCAACTGGAGATCAAGGGAGATTACTGTACTTATTGTACCATTTCTGCCTGGATGCAACCAATCTTTCATCACCACTGATGCTCCCACTCCCCCTCATCCCACTCCTATGTAGACGCCCTTTCACCTTGCTCGGGTCCCCACATCCCACAGCAGGCCACTGCCACCATGGGGGCCCTTCTGTCTCTGCTCAAGCTCTGACACCCTGTACCAGGTCATGGAAACACCCTTCCATCCTGCTTAGGCTCCAATACCCCAGAGCAGGCTGCCAGCCCACCCCACCCAGCCCCTGCAGGGATGCCTATCTTACACCGGCCCTAATAGCTTTAAGACTGAATAAGGAAGAAAAGAAGTAAAGGAAGGCAGGCAGGCAATGAGGAAGGAGGGAAGGACTTTCATTTCTCTTATCATGGGTAAGAATGAACAGCTTTGCAGACACTTAACGCACCACGTGTATGTGTGTATGAAGTGATAATATCTAGCAATTTTGCTATACAGTTATTTGCTAGAGATCTCTTTTTAAAAGGAACTCATTATCTATTAGGATTTTTTTTTTTTTTTTTTTTTTTTTTTTTTGAGGCAGGGTCTTGCCCTGTCACCCAGGCTGGAGTGCAGTGGCATGATCATCACCCACTACAGTGTCAACCTCCTGAGCTTAAATTTAAGCAGTCTTCCCACCTCAGCCTCCCAAGTAGCTGGGAGTACAGGTGTGTGTCACCATGCCTGGCTAATTGTTTTATTTTTCATTTTTTGGTGAAGATGGGGCTCCTGCGGTGTTGTCCAGGTTGGTCTCAAACACCTAAGCTCGAATGATTCTGCCGCATTAGGCTCCAAAAGTGCTGGGATTACAGGCATGAGCCACTGTGCTCAGCTGGGAATATTAACCTTTTATCTGTAATGTAAGTTTCAAATTTGTTTCTGAATTTGTCATTAGTTTTTTCTTATTATTTTGCCACACAAAGATTTTTATTTTATGTAGTCTATTTTGTTACATTCTTTTCTTTTTGTTTTCAAAGTTTGAATCAATGTCGAGGAATGTTATCCTTTCTCAAAAAAAAAAAAAAAATGCCGTGGTTGCTTTTTCATTGGTATCCAAGTTAAGCAGATGTTGGATTATATTTTTGTGGGAAAATAACCTGACTCAACTCTGTCTCCTCCCACTTTCAGCTGGAGTTCAAGAGCTGGAATCACACGTCCTGGTGCCTGGAGATTTATTAATTTTGACAGGGAACAAAGTGCTAATGCCATGTGATGCCGTTCTGATTGAAGGCAGCTGTGTGGTGGATGAAGGCATGCTGACAGGTACAGTTCTATCTCCACAGCTGGCAACCTCCGTGGCCTGGCCCACACTCCTCGCTACTGTGGTCCCTACTCCTCCTCTCCCTGAATGACAAGGGCTGGCTGTAAAGCATTGTCTGCTATGGGACCTTTCTGTTTCCACAAATCTTACTCAGTCCTGCTGTGAATGGATCTGTGGGTTCAAATTAAAGCTCTTTCTATGTGTTAAGTTTGATACAATAACAAGTTTTTGAGTGTTTAGTATTTCTTTCTTGAACAAAAGATTATTACAACCCTCTCATTTACCTTAAAAGATTGTAGAGATCATTAGATCTTTCAGAATTGTCTGTGACTTTTATGTTTATCTATTTTAAATAAAACATGTTTTTAAATAAACTTGGAGGATTTGAAAATCATCAGCGACATCCTGAAACCCACAGGGGTCATTCAAATTCTTCCTGGCCTGGCTTGAAAATGTTAAGAAATTCATGAGGCAGCATTTGGAAAAACCTGCTGCTTCCAAAATACACACTGGGTGTTTCGGACTCACTGTAGTTCGTTTACAAATGGCATGCTGGAGCTGGGTGGGACCTGTGAGGTTATCTCACATCACAGGCACAGCAACTGAGGTCCAGAGAGGTGACTTGCTTAAGATTACACTGCCTTGATTTCTCACTGACATAGCATAATGATGAGATGTTCAGCTGATACTTCTATAA